GGACCTTTAGTACCGGTTAGTGTCACGAACCGATAGTAATGCCTCAAACCCATTTAGTACCGGTTGGTGGCTCGAACCGGGACTAAAGGTCTAAACTGTAGTACCGGTTCGGGTTGGTACCACGAACCGGTACTAATGGGCATCGCACCTTTTAGTCCCAGTTCGTGGCACCAACCGTGACTAAAGGCCCGATTTGAACCGGGACTAATGCATGTACGGTGCCCTAGCCGCTCGAACCGGGACTAATGCCGGTTCGTAATGCAACCGGGATTAATGCTCTTTTCTGCCCGAAAGTAAGCCCTATTTTCTACTAGTGTTGGCGGAGCATATTCTCAAAAAAGTCCAAAGCAATCACAGATGAGTATGCCCCAGAGCTTGCAAACTTCCTGAAAACAAGCCACTGCCGCAGCTGACATCAATAAGTATACCACCAGCAACTGATTGGAAATAGTCTTGAGCCATTTGGAACTGATAAAACCAACGATAGATCAGAATTATATGCATAAAAACATGAAAGAGTGGTGATCATTTTCTGTTGCAACACCAAAACATGAAGCACCAAATCTTACCTGCGACTGATGTATGAATTTACAGGCCAGGTATTTAAGAACTTAGTGAGCAGCAACAACTTAAGGCTATGCAATAGAAGAGTGAGGCGGCCTAGAAATGTACCTCTTCGTCGCGGCCAGGGAAGCCACTCCGATTGAAGTTCTGACGCCACCCCCTCTCGTAAAGAAAGGAGACGAGCGGGCTCCTGAACAGCTCGGCTCTAGCAGGCTTGAGTTCACTGTATTCTTTCATTCCTGAGGTGACAGTGAGATCCAAGAAGACATCTTTGCTGATGAATGACTTGTTGCATTTTGAACACTTGAATCCGGACCTATAAATCGCTGGCCTGGGACACACGTAGAATCCAAAACAACATAAATCTTAATCCAGCCAACAGATATGCATGAGAGATGAAAGAACGTAACTCATGAACTTTAGACGTACAGGTTCATGCCTGGCGGCCCTGTCCTTATCAGCGGTTCATAGCAAACAGGGCATGCGAACACCTCAGTTTTTGAGGCGTCATTCAGCTCGGTTTTGATCTCCTGAAACTGTTTGCATAGTGAGCGTCAGTTTCACCTTGGCATAACATCAAACACCTTGTATGCAATCGCTCCCCCTTTTTTCTAGCACACACTACGCGTCCCTTCTCCCTTGCTTTCCCTGAGATTAGAATCGGCTAGTGGCGTAGGTATGTACGTACCGGGTCGAGGGCGATAGCTGCCGCGGCGACGGCCACCCGGCGAGCCGGCAGCGGCAGGCCCGGGCTGCGGCCAAGGCGGCAGGGGACGCGTGGGGGATGAAGCGACGGGGAGGAGGAGCAGGAAGCCGCCCCGGCTCTGACCGCGACGCCGACAAGGAGCTGCAAAGCAATTGCAGCCTGGAGCCTGGAGACGCGCCGGCGAAGGGAAGGAAAGAAATGCTCTTCTTTGGCAGAGGAGCAGGGGTGGGGTGGTGGTGGCGGTGGGCTGAGGCGTGGCGCCAGCTGCGTCCGTTCGCGCCTTCGGCCGTTGCATCGCGATATTAGGGGTAGCACTCTTGCGCCGGTCGACCGACTAGATTCTAGATCGATCACCTCCCGAGCCCTTGGATTCCGGCAATTAGAGTCGTTGGATCAAGTCAACCCCTTCACACGCACGACTGGGCCTCTCTGCTGCATGTGTGCTCCACACTGGGAAAAGAAAAGGGGGACGCGGGCCCGCATCGCAACCGAGCGTTGGTCTTCGACCTCAGCAACACCGGCTGCCACGGGAGGCAGCATGCTCGCCGCTCGCATCACCACTATATCCTTTTCGTAGCACTCGTCGTTGCCCCTTGTAGCACCCGTTGTCCCCGCTTCAGGCGATCGAGCACGAGATCGTCGCCATTGCAGTGCAGCCCACCCACCACAGCATTCCCTCTCCGATAGTTATAGCATCTGTCGTGGCCGGTCCCAACATCCTCGATCGACACCCCTATAGGTGGTCGCCGGTGCAATGAGGGTGTACTCATTCGACTGCACTTGACGTAGTCGTCAACACGCGGGTAGCTTCAGACTTCATGGGAGTAGCAGAAGAACAACTCAGCAAATAATTAGAAAAAAAAGGTTCCCATGTAGCCGCCAAATTGTAAAACCCGGAATTTGTTTTCTGTTTGCACTGCCCCCCTCCACCCATCAGCGGACGCCCTGCCAACCACGCTACCAAACAAACTTTCAAAGAGAAAAGGGGGAGGAGATGTAAATTTCCCTCACAGTTCATCTAGCAGAAGACAAACCCATTGTTCAAATGCTTATTATTCTTGTACAAGTACTTGGGTTCCATGGGGAACAACCGGGATATTGCACTGGTAAACTGACCAAAAAAAAAAATCCTATACGTACCACGTATGCTGCTACTGGCTACTGGTAGTATGGTACCTCCTGAATCGCTTACGAAATCAGAGAGACAGAACCTACAGAAGTAATAAACGACGGTTGCTACTATGATTCAGTTCAGGCGATGGCGACCGTGGTGGCACGCCCGGCAGTCGGTGTCGGCAAGGGCGGCAGGCGCGAGCTGAAGTTCCTGTACTGGAAGTGGAAGGCGGTGTCCTTAGTGTCTCGCTCGCCGCCGTCGCTGCCGCCGTTGTCGAAGTTGAGCGCGTAGCTCAGCGGGTCGTACCGGAACACCCCCGTGGCCGCCATGTGCCGCCTCCACCTGGCCCTGCCGCCGCCAGTGTGCGGCCTCCCCGCGCTGCTGACCGGCGACGACGGTGATCCGAAGCAGCCGCAGACGGTGGTCCGCAGCTTTTGGCGCAGCGAGTAGGGCGACGAGGACTCCATCGCGTCCATGGAGACTGCCTGTCGTTCTCGTTGTAGTACTTGTTGAGTTGGAGATGATGTGGTTGGTCGAGCTCAGAGGGGTGTGTGTGAGAGAGAAGGTGTGTGCTCTGCTGCTGGGCTGGGTGTGGGTATGGATGGAGAAGGCAGGCGGGACTAAATAGGAAGGGCGGGAAAAGACAGATAAGGAGTGACAGACAGGGGGCCGGGGACGGAGTGAAGGGCGTATAAGAGACGCGCACACGACGCGACGGCGGGGAAGCAAAGCAAGCAGCCAGTATCTCCGTAGCGACGTACCGCCTTCTCATCAGACAGAACATGGTAGAAGAAGAAAGCACACGGCGGGTCGAAAGGACGGGAGAAAATTAAAGGGCCTCCGTGTTTTTTGTATGGGAGAAATGCGTGCAGAACGAACCAACAGATGTGAACGCCGGACGAATCGGATGCTATACCTCGGTGCACCACGGCGAAGGCGAAAGGTCCCGTGTCGTAAGGCCCGCGGCGACCAACGGACGGACGAGATCGATCGGTGGATGCGGCGATCCACGGAGAGACTGCTTTCCGTTGCCGCGATGGCGGCGGCGACTATTGTTCAAAACGTGCAACTCGATCGGCAAAGTAGAAGAAACGTCCGGCATCCGCAAACACGCAGCTGGTATGGTTTGCCGCAAAACTGCTTGTTGCTCCATGCGTTGCACGTCTCCTAGTCCGTGTGGTTTGGTTTCAACTCATTTTTTTCGAAGAAATTGGTTTCAGCTCATGTGGGGCGGTGGCGTCACGCCAGTAATTGATTAGTTTACGTCCGTAGAGTGATCTGATCTGATCAGCCCAGGAAAAAAGGGTCAATATATTAAGCTCAGCTTGAGCCTGGGCCGGCCCATTTTATGGTGTTCTCATTTTAATAAATCGAGAAAAACAGTGATGTAGGCAGGATTCGAACCAGCGACCTGCTGGTTTCGAGAACGCCGCGACAACCACCGAGCCACCTACCTCAGGCTTAACTGATTGCCTTCTTTTGAGTTCATTTACTTACTGTTTTTTTCGAACGATTTTATTTGGTTTTTTATTTTTTTTCTTCCTTTATTCGTACACTTTTTGATAAATGATAAATGCGTGAATTTTTGTCAATTTTCACTATTTTTTTGGTAAAATCGATGAACTATTTCCAATTCTTGAACCTTTTTTGAATTTGATGAACTATTTTTTCAAATTCAACGAACTTTTTTCTAGTTCGATGAATTTTATCAAAATCAATGAACTTTTTTTCAAAACTCGTAAACTTTTTTTCAAAACTTGTGAACTTTCATGAAAATCGATGAACTTTTTTCAAATGTATGAGCTCTTTTTGAAAATCGATGAACTTTTTTAATTTTCTTGAACTATTTTATATTTCATGAACTTTTTCGAAAAATTCATGAACTTTTTTCAAACTTGTGAACTTTTTTAAATTTGTTAACTTTTCTGAAATTAGTGAACTTTTCCAAATTTATGAACTTTTTCTTGAATTAGTGAACTTCTTTCAATTAGATAAATTGTTCTGTGCAATAACATAGTGCTGCGTCCTTGTTTTTTTTGCAAAAAAACTTCCAATCTATTCATCTTCAATCATGGCAGTACAACGAACATTAGAAATAAAAATTACATCCAGATCCGTAGACCACCTAGCGACGACTACAAGCATCGAAGCGAGCCGAAGGCGTGCCGCCGTCATCGCCCCTCCATCACCGGAGCCGGGCACAACTTGTTGTAGTAGACAGTCGGGAAGTCGTCGTGCTAAGGCCCCATAGGACCAGCACCCCAGAACAGCAACCGCCGCCGATGAAAAATAACGTAGATCGGAAGGATTCAAACCGAAGACACACGAACATAGACGAACAACGACGGGGTCCGAGCAAATGCTGCGTCCTTGTTATTACGCATTTGCCTCTGATACTAACTACAAATGGCATGTAGCTCGAGTGGCTGGTGGCACCTGTACGTGAACCGGATATGGTGAGTTTGAAACCTGTAGAGAGCAATATTTCTTGTGTTCTTTTTTTGAGGTTTTTGCGTTCGCTGGTCTGCATGTTTCGTGGGCCGGCCTAGCACTGGGCGCTGCACGCGCCAGAAGCGCGAACGGGCGCCTGCAGCACTGTATAGGACCTCCCCGGGTTCTGGGGGCGGTAGGGCATCCAGCCGTCCCCCCAGGCGCCGATTTCGGCCCATTATCCGGCCTAATTTTGTCAAAAAACGGCCCGATATCTACGTGAATCGGGCCATATTCAATGTGTTTCGGTGTGAATTTTCCCATACAAATAGAAATCAATTAGTTCATCACATAGTTTGGCGTGGTTCGGCTTGTTTTTGCCTTCATAGTTCATCATAAAAAATCAATATAAATCAAATAGTTCAATACAAATTATATAGTTCAACAAATAACAACTCAAGTTTCATCACACGTCATTCCTGGCGTCGCCCCGGCGTTGCCTTTGAGCCTCCATAGGTGCTCCACCAGATCGTGTTGCAGTTCTTGATGCACCTGTGGGTCTTGGATCTCCTGACTCATATTGAGGTAGTCAGTCCAGGTTGCCGGTAGCTGGTGATCAACTTGGGCAAAAGGACCCTGCCTGTAATATGGTTATGTGTCAAACACTGGCTCTTCCTGCTCACTCTTAATGATCATGTTGTGCAAGATGACACAACAAGTCATGGTCTCCCACATTTGATCTTTCGACCAGGTCTGAGCAGGGTACCGGACAACAACAAATCGAGATTGGAGCACACCAAATGCCCGGTCGACATTCTTCCTGCAAGCCTCCTGAACCTTCGCAAAGAAGGCATTCTTGCCTCCTGGCACAGGGTTTGAGATAGTCTTCACAAATGTCGACCATCTCGGATAGATGCCATCAGCTAGATAGTACCCCTTGTTGTAGTGTCGCCCATTGACCACGAAGTTCACCGGGGGAGAATGACCTTCAACAATGAAAGTGCTAGTTATCGACTAGAGGGGGGGGAGGTGAATAGGCGATTTTTATCAAAGTCTTCAAAACGTGGAAGTTTCGAAGATAAACAATAGAAATGACCTAATTGATATGCAGCGGAAGATAAACTACACAAAGCAAGCCATAGTCAAGTATGCAATAGTGGTAACGTACGAAGACTAACAGCAGCTATGTAGTAAGGATCAGGATGGAAGATAGTATGAAGCCAATCAACAATAGTAGTCAAGCAATGAAGTCAATCAGATAAGACAGATAAGCAATGACTTCACGAAGACAAACTCAAAGTAAAGGAGGGAAGAGATAGAACCAGTCACTTGTTGAAGACACAGGATATGTTGGACCAGTTCCAGTTGTTGTGACAACTGTACGTCTGGTTAGGGAGGCTGAGATTCAACTCAGAAGACCGTGTCTTCACCTTATTCCCCTTGAGCTAAGGACACCCAGTCCTCGCCCAATCACTCTGGTAAGTCTTCAAGGTAGACTTCCGAACCTTCACAGACTTCGTTCACCCGACAATCCACAATGACTCTTGGATGCTCAAAACGCGACGCCTAACCGGCTGGAGGATACACAGTCCTCAAGTGTAATAAGTCTTCAGGTCACACAGACAGAAAGACTTCAGTGATGCCTAACACTCTTTGGCTCTGGGTGTTTGGGCTTTGTCCTCGCAATGATTTCTCTCTCAAAGGCTTCGAGGTGGGTTGCTCTCAAAACGACAAAAGCCGTAAACTAACTCTGAGCAGCCACCAATTTATGGTGTAGGGGATGGGCTATTTATAGCCACAAGGCAACCCGACCTGATATGTCCGAAATGACCCTGGGTCACTAAGGAACTGACACGTGTTCCAACGGTCAGATTTCAAACACACACACAACAACTTTACTTGGGCTACAAGCAAAGCTGACTCATCCAGCTCTGGATAAGATTTGCTCTCATTGTCTTCGCTCAAAGACATAGGATTTGGGTTGAGCATCACTTCAGTCACTCTGACTTAGTTCACTTGGACCCCACTTAACAGTACGGTGGTTCCTATGAATCAACAAAGAAGAAAAGGAAACAACGAAACGACTCAGTCTTCGCGCTCCATAGTCTTCACTCAATGTCTTCTCATGTCATAGACTTCAGTGTGAATATCTTCACACACCACCAGTGTCTTCAATGTCTTCATACATTTTTAGGGGTCATCTCCGGTAGGTAAACTGAATCAATGAGGGACACTACCTGCGTTATCCTGCAATTCTCACAAACGCATTAGTCCCTCAACCAACTTTGTCGTCAATACTCCAAAACCAACTAGGGGTGGCACTAGATGCACTTACAAACAAGCTTGGCAAAGACAGGGGAGCACTTCAGGACGTTGATGTCATTGTGAGTTCCTGGCATCCCAAAGAAAGAGTGCCAAATCCAGAGGTCCTGTGTGGCCACTGCCCAAAGTACCACACTACAACCGCCTTTTTACAACCCCTGCCAAGCAAATGAACAGTTCTTCCATTTTCCAATGCATGTAGTCGATGCTTCCAAGTATCCCAGGAAATCCTCTTGCTGCATTATGTGCTAGGATCCGAGCAGTGTCTTCCGCATTGGGTGTTCGCAAGTATTGCGGTCCAAACACTACCACCACTGCCCTGCAGAACTTGTAGAAACACTCAATGGTGGTGGATTCGGCCATGCACCCATAGTCGTCGAGTGAATCACCGGGAGCTCCGTATGCAAGCATCCTCATAGCTGTCGTGCACTTCTGGATTGAGGTGAATCCAAGTGTGCCGGTGCAATCCATCTTGCACTTGAAGTAGCTGTCGAACTCCCGGATGGAATTCATAATCCTGAGGAAAAGCTTTCGGCTCATTCGGTAACGGTGCCGAAATGTTTTCTCGCCGTGCAATGGAGCATCGGCGAAGTAGTCCGAGTAGAGCATGCAGTAGCCTTCCAGATGATGCCGGTTCTTTGATTTCACCCGCCCAGGCTTCCAGATGAGCCAACTCGCGCGCGGCTTCTCAGTGCCCGCGAGCAGGCCGGCGAGGGCGGCGAGC